GGCTTTACCCAATACAAAAAGATTAGCCATAAACTACATTGGGCCGGGTCCCTATTAGAAATGCAACTAAACCAGAATGAGTAGATTTTGGGAGGAGAGTAGTTTTGGTTTTGCGATCACCACGAGGGGGAGAAGTCGAATAGGCGATGAGCTAGTTTTCAAACCAGATTTGGATCATCTGAGAGGAGAGAGTAGGGTTATGGTCCCACAAGCTTGAAATCCGGTTTCTGATAAGAGAGTCCACCTGTTTGAAGATAGAGGAGGGTTGGCGAAACTCTTGTCGATGGAGCCTGTTGTTGCGTTCAATCCAAGTGAAATAAATCGAAGCTTACTAAGAGAGGAGAACCAGTAGGCGATGGTGTTTAGGGAGATTAGAGGATTGCAGGCTTCCAACCCCATCTGACCAGTTCCTCTTCTGTTGTGGTTATCTTCATTAACCAGCTTATTGTTGAATTTAGTTCCAGTTGTATGTGTTTGTGCTTTTAAAAGTTCAGATTAATATAATTATTGTTTGTATTAAAACGCACTACTTTATTACCTACCAAATTTTAACAAGTATGTAGAAGATTGAACAACAATCAACAATTTTGAAAAGGTTAATTATACATACATACATATATAGAGTGATTTGCATGGAAAATACACCATAAATTGATAATTTGCAAATATGAAAAAACAGTAAAATATATATATAGAGAGAGAGAGAGAAATAGAATAAAATAACAATATTATCCCTATGAATACTTAAAAGAAAGAGAAACAAACCATTGCTTCTCCTTCCTGTATTTTGTCGTTTTTCTTCGTTTTGTTTCCGTGAACATCGACATCCAATTGGAGATGTCAAAAATAATAGTGTTAAATTAGTTTAAACAGCTACCAAGTATATTTCTAGTCTATAAACTAGTTTAGCCGATTAATAAAAATATGTTTTTTGTTCATTTTATTTTGTTTGAAAATGTTGAATTTAATACAATTCATATAGTTGATATGTAAATAAGCATACTTATAATGTGATTGTTTTTACTGTAGTATTTGAATTTCAGAGTATTTTTTGAAAATTTGAAAATAAAATTTATTGGTCTAAGTAATTATAAAATATATAAGTTTATTTAACTATAGTATTCCTTTTATTAAAAAACCTTATTTCAGTTTCAAATAAATATATGGTTTTTAAATAATACAAAATCCGTACATTGGTTTAAGATAAATAATTTCCTCATAAACAAATGTAATTACAAATTAGATTATTCTTATAAATATTAAATAGTTATTTTTCTTGTAAATATAAAATTAGTAGATAGTTATTTTCCTTTTACAAAATCATAAACTTAAAAACAGTATTTAATTCTTCTTATAAAATAACCTTAGTTTTTTGTTAATTTTCTAATTATGACATGTGTTAAGAAGTCATAAATGTGTAGTAAAATCAACAAAAACATTTAATCGTAATTTTTTTATTATTTATAATTATTTAGTAGTATTGTTTATTTTTAAAAGATGTGGGTTTAAGATATTTATAAAATAAAAATACAATATTTTTTGTTAAATTTATATTTATAAACCAAAAGTTATTACAAAATGTTTTTTTCTTATATATATTTAATATTTTACCTTTCAATTAATTATAAACTAAAGTGCATGTTAAAAATCCTTATAATTAAATATTTTAATGGTAGTAATTATTTAAAAACCTTATTTGTAATTTCAAATAAAAGAAATTAATTTTAGAAAATTAAAAGATAATTTTTTAAGATAAAAAAACTTATAAAACAGAAATAGCTACCAAATTAATTTTTCTTATAGATAGTTAATATTATTTCCCTTATAAATATATCATTATCTGATAATAATTTTATTTTATAAAAAAGCATATACCTAAATGCTCCGAGGTAATTCACATTTTTTAATAAATCATAAACCAAACTATTACAATTTTCATATATCAAAAAAAATGTATGTTTTATATTTTTTACAAATTACAACATTACATAAAATATAATAGGTGTGTTTTCTTAATTTCACACTTGTAATATTTTTAAATTAGGATGTCATCGTTGTTCATTATTGTATGTGCAACTATTATTTCATAGTATGTATGTGTTTGTACATATTTATTTGTCATAATTCTTGCCTCTAATTTTGTTATGTTTGTATGTGTTATTGTTTGTTTGTATTCTACTAATTTTATTTTTATGAAAATTTCAGAAACAATAATAATTTAGAAATTATTTAACATTAGATCAGTTAAGTAAAAACAAATTCTTATCCATACTATTGTGTAGTCTTACATCAATGTTTCTATATTTTATATATTCAATTACAACTGTAACAAAATAATTTTATATAATAATATATATCTAAAGACTATGAATATAATTTTTTACCATCAATATCTTCATCATTTTCATCTTAATTTTTTTTTTGTTACTGTAAATCTAACATGAGAAAAAAATTGAATAATCATTAAAAAAATTCAAATGATATATATTATATTAAATTTAATATATTTAAAATAAAATTACAAAAATAAATTAAGATCTTTACGATTAATTTTTCTTCAGATCTATTATAACATATACTAATATAATTTATTGTTTATTTTAAATTTATTTACTACAAATGTAATTGTCATCGTTTTATCATGAAAATTGTGTCAATATATATATATATATATATTTCAAAAGAATTTTTCGTACAATTGAGATTGAGAAAAAAGGTCTTCACCATAATATACTTTATAGCTACGAAGTCAAAACAATATCCAAATTGAGAAAGTATTTTGTCGTTATGTGGCAGGTATTGATAGTTTCATTACTTCTAACTTACATGACAAAAAATTGTTAATTTAGAATATTTTCTATTGGCTAAACAACTAAATATGCATAGACCATGCAAATCAAAATATAAAGATAATAATCCATGAAAAAAAGATTGCATCAACCTTAAAAGGACAACACAAACATCAGTAAATGACCCTGAAAACATCAAAATATGTTGAACAAGAAGAATTGCATAGCAAGTTAATGGAAACTTAAATAAAATCAGAAGAAAGCGTATGACGTTGCATTGACTCATTGATTTAATTCATCTTTCAAATTCTTTGTATTTCACTCTAATCTTTACTTATTCAGATTTGGTTTGGTTTGAATTTTTGGGTTTAGTTTGATTTGTATTTTCGGATTTGAATGTTTTCTCTAGTCTCAAGTGCAAAATTGTTGATAACACGCATAAACACCAAAACTATTAAATAGAAATACTATCTATAACTTATGTGGGAAAAAAGATTTTTAATTCAAACATAAATTTCACAATATAGTAAAAATACTAAAACTGCAATTAAAAGTGTGAAGTTTTTTATATTGTTCGTAAAATTAAAATGTCATATAATTTCCGTGCAATGCACGGGACCATATCCAGTAAACTAATAATTTATTAGCATGAGATGCTTAGTCATGTTACCGTTTTAGGAACAATTCAAATTGTATTGATTTGTGAAGGTTGGCTATATTTTTTTAGACACTGCAAATTTCAATAAACCAAAGAAAATGGAGGGTTAGATGCATAAAGCTGAAGAACGCATGATATATAACCTCCAAGGTTACGCCAGCGAAACCAAGCTTCCGGGAATCATTAGCCCTAACAAAGGGAATCAAACGAACAACATACTAAACCTATAATATATAAAATAATAATGTAAAATATAAACTATCTATACAAAAATAATAAGTATATGTTAAATTATTATTTTTGGTAGGAAAACTTCTCATAATAGGTGAATATTAATCAATTCATTAGCAAGTATGATATTGTTCACCTTTAATTACGAACAAAGAACATTATTAAACTTAAGCTAAACATCTAACAATAATAAAAGGAGAATATGGTGCAAGGAGAAGCATGCCACATCAGATTAAATAATCAACCAATAGAGATGTTGCTTTTTGCCATGTCATTATTTCTTATGCCGAAATGAATATCAGTGGGCTTCTTCGTCGTGTGGGTTGAATATATTTGTAATGACCCAAATTAACACACTAAATCGAAGTGACTATGTCTCTCCAACTTCGTCTTCTCCATTTCATCTCCATGAAATCTCCTTTATCCCGACCCATATCGTAACAATCAATTACTCTCCATTTTATGAGTTCATATTGTTTTCCTTTGTTTATCCATCTTTATAAACCCTCCGGCTATACTTTAATCCACCCAGAAACGCTAACCTCCATTGCAGAAGCTGAAGCCCAACAGAAGTCTCCTCTCTCCACCGGAAACTCTCCCGTCTCTTTGTATTACTGCAGACTGGTGTCGGAATGGTCGTCTACTGCATCGCAAGATGAGACCTTCAACGATTTGGAGCTGGAGCTCGATGGTGACAATAGAGATGGCATGGAAATAACAGGATAGTTATATTCTTCTTTCATTTCGTCTCGTGAAACATTTTTCCTAAGAAGAAACCACTCAAAAAGCTTGGTTTTTGGAATTCAGATCCTCAAGGTAATTCATTTGTCAGCCAAATGGATTTCATAGCTTCCGATGAATAGTTGTCGTAAACACAAATTTATGGATGTCAAATTGTGAAGAGTCTCTATTTATTCATTTTGCTTACTTACTTCTCTAACAGGTTGAGCGAGGTTCAGTGGGCATCGTATTGTGTTCTTAGTGCACCACTGCTTAGTTGAATTCAAAGTTTTCTCATAATACTTTTATCTCTTCTCTTTTATTGACTACTATCAACATGGGATTCTTTAGTTATTTTCAAATGTTCCATGGTTAGTCTCTGCTGATTTTTCCAGTGCATAGTCTCACATTGAATATTATATTTGTTGATGCCAAAAAAAAATTACATATGCTGTTCTGATCACGTACTTCAGACATTAGCTTCTGTATCCACCTTAGCATCCTAATACCTACTAAAAGTTGTGATTGCATTTGGCTGGAGATGTATAAGAAACGAACGAGTGATCCTTCAACGAGAGGTTTTTCCGAAGCATCTTGATTTCATGAACATGAGGTACAAGATCCATATACGCCCTAAAAATCACAAAATTTAATTGAAAGACCAGATGATGCAATTTAGTGAAGTTCTGTTAAATGTTATTTTTAGGATTCTGGCAGGTGAAGAAGGGGGGGGGGATGAGGAGGATAACATGGCTTTGTATCCAAGGAAAGAGCCTGAGGTAAGGAAGAACCAATAACTGGAGAAGAAACAATAGCCACATTTTTGAGTAGAAAATGAGAGAAAGCACAAGATTTGAAGGAGAAAGAGATGACGAATGCTGCATATAAGAAGGAATTCAAAAGCGTATCAAGGATTACTCCACAGCCATGGAGGTTGATGATGACGTATCTCTTTTATCACAAATCGTACTATTATTCAACTAAAGACGAGAAATGTTTGATTTTTATTATATTAGTTATACTTTTTATGTGATGTATTCACTCTGTTATCTTAGTAGCCTATGTTATGTTCTATACAAAATTTATGCAGATGTTTACAAATAAACAAGCAAGCTGTGGTGACCTTACTCCCGAGGAGTTTAAAGAAAGACAGGTTAAATTCTAACTTATTGTTATGTATTATTTCATTCCGGTTTAGAGACAATCAGTGAGTGTATCTTCATCAAGCACGGGCTTCAGAATGTGTTTGAATCCTCCGGTGAGATGCCTGTGGAGCCGTCTTTTAATCCTACTAATAACAAGGATCATGAGTGGAAATACGCTATGGTTAAGTTTGGTGAAGTCAGTGTAGATAAGCCTACTTTGTACTTTGATGATAAGGAGCTTGAGTTTCTCTCGTGGCACGTTAGGCTTCAGAATATGACTTACTCGGTGAGGATGAAAGTTAATGTTGATGTTGAGGTAAGGAAACTGATTAAAAGATGTTACCTTTTTCGTTCTACATCTTGCAATGATGGCTTAAAACATATGATGTGAAATATAACGAAAAACGTTTTGGGATTGCTGCCATTGTATCTTATTCTTATTACTGGTTATTTTATTGTTGTAACTGACTCTACACTTTAAAATTGACTAGGTGTTTGTTAAGAAAGTTGTTAAAAATGACAAGTAGAAGACTGGACAAGACGAAGTTGTCGAGAAGCAGATTCTATCTAAGAAGACGCAGGACATCCCGATTGGTAGGATACCGGTGATGGTGAAGTTCGTCCTTTGCAACACAACGGAGAAAGGAGATAATGGGGAGAGCTCCAAAAAAGGGGAAAGCGCCTATTGACCAGGGTGGATACTTTGTGATCAAAGGAGCTGAGAAGGTGAGTTACTCCAAATATTTACATTTCCACTGTCATGGGATTACAATGCTGAAGTATTTTAGTGTATAGCTTAGTGGTTGGATTGTGCGTTCTTCACATAATATGCATTGCACCTATTTTCCTAAACTATTTGAACTGCTGATAACGTTTTTTTGCATTCTTTCGTTTTACTACTGTGTATATATATACATATGTTAGGAAACATTGCCAAGCTGTTACACAAGTTTCTGACATGAAGAAATGTGTTTTGCAGGTCTTTATCGCTCAAGAACAGATCTGCACAAAGAGACTCTGGATCTCCAATTCACCATGGCAGTCTCCTACAGGTCCGAAACTAAAAGGAATCGCTCCATTGTGCGTCTTTCAGAGAATCAGAAAGCTGAAGACTTTAAGAGAAGGGAGAAAGTACTGACAGCATACTTCCTCTCAACTGAGATCCCAGTCTGGGTCATGTTCTTTGCTCTGGGTGTTGCGTCAGACAAAGAGGCTGTTGATCTGATTGCCTATGATAGTGGTGATGCAAGCAGTACAACCAGTGTCATAGCTTCAATCCAGGAAGCTGATTTGTCCTGCGAAAATCTTCGTCATGGGAGAAATGCTTTGGCATATGTTAAGCAGCAGATTAAAAGTACAAAATTCCCACCTGGAGAAAGTGTGGGTGACTGCCTAAATATGTTCTTGCTTTAACATTTTTTAGAAAAATAGTTTGCTTTGTTTTACCAGATGTCATTTTTCCTTTATTATTATTGAATAGCCAAAAAAAATTGCAATATTAATGATAAGCATGTTGTGCTATCATAATGCAAATATAAATGAAGGATTTACCGCTGATCAAATATAAAATCACGGGTATTTATGAAGAAATACTCAGAGTAACATTTTCATAGGATACAAATGAACATTTCCGGTTTTCTGGCTTATATGAAATGATATATTTGTATCTTTTACATCTTTTTCCATGTCGTTATAGTAACCGATCTTGTGTAAAGATCAACTTTAGGATATAACATCTCCAATCATTTAAATTATTTAAATAAATTTTGAGAACTATTTAAAAAATTTAGATGATTTTAAATGATTTCACAGTTATTGCATCAAATAATTGAATAATTAAGGATACACAAAATGATGATGTAATATCAAGTTCTTTTACAAACAATGTAATATAACGTTTCATAAATTTTCAAGTTTACATAAGTTTTAATTTTATAAATCATACTTGAAATTATTTTATTATGATTATAACGTTTCGGTGAAAGTAATTAATCTTATTGGAATGGGTAAAGATTAAATAAGTACATTCACATTGTCTTTAATATTTTCATGTTTGTGTGGAACATGATATGATTATAAAAATAAAATAACATTCACTATTCTGATATGATTATAAAAATAAAATAACATTTATTTTTGAAAATAATAGACATTGCTTGGATCATTTGTATTAGTTATACTTCGAAATAATAAACATTACTTAGATCATTTTCCAAAGTTTCAATTATATATTACTCCCTCCGTTTCGAATTAGATGTCATTCTAGAGGAAAAAAATTGTTTCAAAATAAGTGTCGTTTTAGAATTTCGAGACATAATTTATTAGGTTTATATGATATTCTATTTTTCTATTGGTTGAAAAGTGGTTAGGTGTATTGGTAATTGTATTTTTATATTGAAAATGTGTAAAATTAAATGCTTCCTTAATCTGTGTGTAAAAACCTAAAATGACAAATAAATTGAAACTGAGGGAGTACATATTTAAATATGAATAACATAATACCTTAAAAGAATTAAGAATTTATGAAATATGTATGTATTGAAGTATGTATGTATTGAGTTTAACTACTCCTATTAACATCAAAGGAGCTCATCAAGAAACGACCTCCCTTTAAACTTATCAACCTTAAATCCCATCTCTTCCATCCGCAACCTCTCTGCCTCAAGCTCAGCCAGTTCCGCCTTCATCTCCTCCACCCTCAACCTCACTTCTCTTACTTCCTCCTCTTTCCTGGCCAAATCTGCTTCATGAATTTCCATTTCTTGTTTCTTAGACCTCACTGATCCTTCTTCTCTCTCTTTCTCCGAGTCAGCGTTTTCTTGAAACCGAGCAAACTCCTCAAGAACAGAACGTAACCAACCAACATCGATGTTCACAGACTCCAAGTCCTTAATAACCGCAAGCATCTCTTTCACTGTCAGTTCAGTCAACTGTGCAACCGGGGTTGAGCCAAGTTCTTGCATCATTGAGCATAAGCACTCTAGGTATCTTGATCTCATCGATGCTGATTCTAGCTTGCAGTTTGCAGCTATGTCTCCGTGTTTGTCTATGATTGACCGCAGGGTTGTGGAGACACCAGAGTTGACACGGTATTTTCCAACTGAAACAAACGAGTCTGATATTACTGATTGAAGGTCGAGCTCTACTCCGTTCTCATCATCATCATCATCATCATTGGCGTAAGACCTTGGAGGGCTTAAAGCATTGAATTCACTGATTTCACTGGCTGTGTCATTTTTGCCGTTGTGTTCATGCTCCCGAAGTCTTGGTGATACGGTTTTGGTGCGATCCGACTGAAAAACAATTTTACAACAAAAACAGAACATGTCAATATGACACTCTCTACTTGCAAGATTCATCCTAACGTTACTATTCAGATCTAGCAACTCAAGACTTTATGAGAAATAGCATGTTGTTTGGGGAAAGAGGAACCATTTGCGAGGGCTTCTCTGGCTTATGGTTGATAGAATCATGTTGACCGTTGAAGTTAAGAGAGACTTCATCAGATGATAGAGAGGGGAAAACTCTGTTCGTTTCTGGAACTGTTGTCCTCTGTGGCACGGATACTGGTGAAGGTCTTGACTGATGAACCCTTGGTGAATTTACGGTACCGTTCTGATATGGCCTTGTGTTCAGAGGTGAGGGTGGCTGTGATCCCACCTTTTTCTTACCTAAACTCTCTGGGAAGCTAATGTTTGTTGCAGCTGTGATTAAAAATTCAAGAATGAGACAAGACACAGACTTGATATCAATGAAGGACACATCAAGAACGGAGAAAGTTATAAAAAGGTACCTTGCTTTTTTGAACTCTTCTTTCCACGGCCTTGAGAAATCTTCTCTAAACAATCTGAAGCACATTCATGGAAAGGGTTTGCAGAGTATTTGCAATCTGGGTGAGTTTTCCTATTGGTATCCATAGATTCAACTAGATGCAAAAACTGCAATAAGAAGCAGCCTTGTCAACATGAATTGTAGAAAATAATCAAACTCAACAACAACAAACACATAAAGTTTAGCATTTTTGTTGGTGGGTTTCTCTAGTTGAACAAAGTCAATCCAGGGTATGCAAAAAGGTCAAGACTTTAGACCTCAAATTCAAATATTTAAATGGTTGCAAATCATACAACAACTCCACTGGATCCCCTTCTATGCTTTATCTCTTCAAAAAAGGTTAGCTTTTCAAATACAGACACTGAAGAAACTTTGGACATATTGTATCAGACTATCCCCACAACAATAACTCCAATCAGACAAACATATTAGAAAAACATGTACTGATTAAGACATGTGTCCAGGCCCAACAACAACAATCTCTGTAATATAATAAAGCACCGATCTTTCTTGGGAAAGAGAGAGCGAGAAAAGGATACCGAGGGAATGCCGGAATGGTGGTGCTGAATAAAGGTCCAGTAGAGCAGAGAAGATGGAAGCGTAATAGAGTTTTGTTGATCCTTGATCGTCGTACGAATTAACAACTTATATAAAAAGAGGTAATGTGACTTGACCGTAACCTTTTAAAGAGAAGGGTTGAAGTTTCGAAGAGATTGACGGCGATTATACATTTAATTGCGCAGGATAACGCAGACGTTACAATCAATGAAATGGACTTCTAGAAGCTGACAACTAGGAAGAGTGTGAATCAGTGAATGGAGAGCCAGGATAAAAGCAGTTCCATTTTTTTTTGTCAACTACGAAGAGTGTGAATGAAATGGACTTCAAGGATACAATTTTGTTTTAGTTCGGTAGTTTACCTAACTCTAGCAGCAGTTCAAGGTTGCTTTTTGTTTTTCAAACCAATAGATGAATTCTTTTTTTTGATAAAAAGATGATTTTTTTTCAACTAAATTAATTGAATTTTGAAAATATTTATTATAAATAACATCAGCTATTTTTTCTATACTTACTACTCTTTTTATAATTATGTCTTATTCGTCTCATTCACTTTGTTTTGCATCACCAACAATATATTGTCATATGAATGAATATTATTTAAGAAAACAGTATACTATAGTATTATTAACTTTTTAATAGTTATTTATAAACTATCATTTTATATTAATCAACTAAATAATGAAACTATATTCTGTAACAACTTTAATGTATATATATATATATATATCATGAATACAATTATTGTTTATAAGGTAAGAAATCAAATCTATAAAAAAAATGATCTAATTGCACATTAAATTATAATTTAGAAGAAGAAAATATTTAATTCACTTAATATGCATCTTCTCTTCTGCTTTTGCCATTTATAAAAATAATAAATTACTTGATCCGCTTGATCTGCATTTCTCCTACATGATCCGCTTGATCTACAGTTGTCCCGCTTGATCTGCACCGCTTGAACTGTTTTTACCTTTCTGAAGTAAAAAGACGAAGAAAATGGGAATAATTTAACCATTTTATTATTTTATTGATCACGTCTGAGATAATTACTCCAATGAATTTATTTACTCAAAATGAATTTATTAATGGAAAATTTAGCAAATATAGCCAAAATGTATAGTTTCAAAAAAATGGATGTCACTTTTCTATATATTATATCTTAATACACATTTGCTTCTTATTTATATTTAAACTATACAAATTTACATTTTATTACATATTTTCACTTTTTTATTTCATTTTATTTCTACTACTTGAACCAAAATGATTCACTTAAATGATTATATTGATAAAATACATATATCATTTTCTACATATGCTACGATTAAAATAGTGGTAAACAAATATACATTTTGCAAAAATATTATTTAATTTTATATGAAACAAAAAAACTATAATTTGGAAAAATAACCATAGTGCACTTGTATTATGATATATCATAGAATCGGTCTACGGTACGCTCGAGACTAGATTATATATCATCTCCATCTAAACAACATTGTAAGAGCATAAAATTGTAAGAGCATTGTTTGTTAGGTGTTGTTTAGTTTCATGTTGTATTGATTGTTGAGAGATATCCCAAGTACGACTCAAAACTTAATTCTAAATATTAAAATGTACCCAAATTCAAATCAAATGCAAAAATAACTCAAAAAACTAGTGAAATTACAAAATATCCCTTCATGGCTAAACAAAAAAAAAACAGGATTGTAATTTACTATTATAACCTTACCTGAAAGTTTTCTCATGCTGTAGATCTTAAAAAAAATTTATAAATTTAAGAAAAAATATTTGGTAATTAAAAAATCCTAATCATGTAATTATTGAAATTTATAAATGATGTAAATATAGATATAACAAAACTGAATAGTTGTCAAGATAGATGAGTGAATATAAGTTTGTCATGATATTCTTTGGTATAGGGTTTGGTAACTATGTTGTAGTATTGTATGTGTTTTTAGGGTTAGATTGTGGAATCTTAATATTTTTTTTAAAAAAGTAAATCTATATGTGTTTAATTTTGTGTAGATTAAACACTTTATAAGTTTAATTTAGTTTGATAAAGTTTTTGTATGTGGTTTAGTTATATATATTTGACCTCTTTGAATTTTGGGTTTTGGAAAACTTATGAAGACTTAATAACAGTTTCACGCTCAATATTTAGGTTTCTTGCTTAAAATTCTAAAAAATTAGGTTTTCCGCTAAAAATTAAGTCTTCCAATGTCTTCTTAAATCTTCCACGGAAAGTCTTCTAAAGTCTTCCAGAAAAAGTCTTCTAGTGTATTAATTCTTAAAATAATTTATAAGTTTCATAAAACATGTTTGGATAGGAGAAAAATCACAATCATCTAATTATAGACATTTGTAAGTGATATAAATTTAGACTTAATAAAATTGATTTTTTCAACATAGATGAGTGAATGTAACAAAGCATGATATTTTCGGTTTAAGGTTTGGTAACTATGTTGTAGTATTGTATTTTTTTTAGAGTTAGATTGTGGAATCTTAACATTTCTTAAAAAAATAGATTTTATCTATATGTTTTTAGTTTTGTGTAGATTAAACATTTTGTAAGTTTAATTTAAGTTTAATAAAATCTTTGTATGTGATTTAGTTATATATATATATATATATATATATATATATATATATATATTTGATTTTGGGGTTTCAGAAGACTTATGAAAACTTATGAAGATTTAATAACAGTTTCCGCTCAAAATTTAGGTTTTCCGCGTAAAATTCTTTAAAAACATTAGTTTTCACGCTTAAAATTAAGTCTTCCAGTGTCTTCCAAATCTTCCATGGAAAGTCTTCTAAAATCTTCCAAGGAAAGTCTTTTAGTGTATTAGTTCTTAAAATAATTTATAAATTTTCTAAAAAATATTTTGATAGGGAAAAATCATAATCATCTAATTATAGACATTTGTAAGTGATATAAATTTAGACTTAATAAAAATGAATTGTTTTCAACATAGATGAGTGAATTTAAGTTAGTCTAGAAGACATAAGAAGACTTTAGAAGACCTCTGAAGATATACTTAAACTCTTCCAGAGTCAAAACTTTGGAAGACATTCGAATACCTCGGAAGAGCTACTTAAGATCTTTCAATAGGTCTTCTAAAGTCTTCTTAAGTCTTCCATATTTTGCTATTTCCCGCTCAAATAGTAAGTCATCTGGGCGAATAGTAAGTCTTCAAAGTAAGTCTTCTGGGTGAATAGTCTTCTAAGGTCTTCTTAAGTCTTCTGTATCAAAAATATTTAACTTAATTGGAATTTTTGTCTTCCTATATAAATAAAATTTACACATTCTCTTTCTTTCTCTGAAATTGAGGCAACAAAAATATAATATTTCTCACTCTAAAATTCTCTAACCTCTCTCTAAACTATTTGAATTTGATAACACCAAACATTATATCAGTTTCTCATTTGTATGTGTTTCTCACTATTTTATCTTGTTTTTGCAAGTTTTTCATTACGTAGATGTCATCTTTCATTTAATTAATGGTAGATCTATAAATTTTTATATGTATTTTTGTGTCTTTTATATATTAGATTCTAATAAGTTATAGATTAAACATAATGTGATTGTTTTAGTTATTATTAAAGCTTAAGACATTTTTTTTGGAATTTTTTCTCTATTTTGATGTCATTTGAACGTTTTTAGATATCCATGTTTTTCCAGATCTGAAGCAGGCATTGGAAGACTTACAGATGACTTTCCTGGAAGTCTTCTGACGTTGTCTTAAGTCTTCTGACGTCATCTTAAGTGTTCTGGCATAGTCTTTTTTCATGTCTCCTCTTTCACAACAAATCTGAACTTTTTGGTAAATTTTCATGTATAATTTCTTCATTTAGTATTCTATTGTTGAATAAAGTTCTATCTTTTTTCCAAACTAAAATTCTCCAACCTCTTTTTAATCTGTTTAAACATGAAAACACCAAAAATTATATCAATTTCTCATGTTATGTGTTTCTCACTATTTTATCTTGTTATTGCAAATTTTTCATTACATAGTTGTCATCTTTCACTCATTTAAGGGTAAATCCATAAATTTTTATATGTACTTTTGTATTTTTTATATGTTAGATTCTAATAACTTATAGAATCAACATAACGTGATTGTTTTAGATATTATTTAAGCTTAAAACCATTGTTTTTTGAATTTGTTTCTCTGCTTTGATGTCATTTGAACGTTTTTGGATATGTAGTTTTTTTCAGATCTGAGACAGGCATCGGAAGACTTACATAATGATTAATAACATTTTAGTTTTAATTAATATCCGCCGCGACGTTCATAAGAATTTCCTGGAAGTCTTCTAATGTCCTCTTAAGTCTTCTGACGTAGTCTTAAGTCTTCTGACTTAATCTTAAGTCTTCTCGCGTAGTCTTAACTCTTCTAGGAAATCTTCTCTCATATCAAGTGGAGTCCAAAATTGTCTTTGTGGAGGAATGATCTATAAAGTTTTATTTGTGGTCTGTTTTTTGATTTGTATGTGTACTCTTTAGTTGTGATTTTTTGTTTTTAAATTTGAAAAAGTATTAATAAAAAATATGTTTATTATCCAAAACTATTTCACATTATTAAAGTAAACAAGATGTAAGATATGTGCTAACAATGTGTTTATCACTTTTACAAATCAAGGAAATAAAAACTTCATTGGCCTTAAGATTCAAAACACGATGTTCATTGTGTAGTTCTTCTCATATTTGGATCTCCCATACTCTACAAATTCTTCACTTTAAACTTCTAAGAAGTAAAACCAACAAAGTCTTGTAAGAAATAAAACCAATAAATTTTATAATTATAAACAAGATATAATGAGTTGGTTAACTCTTCCAACTTCATTTTCATGTACACAACACTTTTGAAAGTTAAAAAAAATTATTTTAAATTACTGAACATTCTTAAAAATACAAGTTTACAAAAACTAATGTGGAAGACTTCCACATAAGTCTTATGAGAGAAGACTTCCTTGGAAGTCTTCTATCATTATCTAAAAAGATGAAAAAACATGAATGTTGGTAACCTCATAATTATCAACAATTAAGTGATGAATTTTATTCAG